TGATTTGCTCAGATATAACAAGATAGCAAAAATAATGAAAGTTACAGTATTTGTAATAATATATTTGAAAACGTTTAAAATTTCTCGAATATTTCATTACGGTATGGGAAGTTCCAGCAATTTGCTTTAAGGCACGATGTCATACACCACTAGTTTTTATTCATTTCGCAATACAAGATATTATCTCTCTATCTATTTGACTCAAATAAAATGTGTGTATATGACACTGTGTGTCTGTGTGTGATTTTTCCATCAATCTCACTTTGTCGCCTCGTAAATACCAATACGAGGATGAGGTGGAGAGATTCTAGATAGGTATCAGCTCTCCACCCTGCCGACTGTGTCGCTTTTTATTTTTTGTTGACCCATTTCTAAGGAAAATGATGTCAAAGCGGTCGTTGCTTGGCACGAAAAAAAATTCGGGGATGATTCGTAATGGATTTAGAAAATTGTAGGTACTTGTAGAGTATTACCACCACAAACTAAAATATTTTTTGCACCTCCCACAATTTTCGGAGAATATCATTTCTCTCATAAGAATTCATTAATAATTCTCCCCCGGCAATGGATGTCTTCGGTTCCATTTATTCGAACTGGAATCGAGGTGGAAGAGTGGGTGAGTCTGACAAACCCAACGGTGGAGACGCCTATGAAAGGCGACGCGGATTCGGAATTCAATGCCGAAAGGAAAATATTAATTACACGAAGATTAATACGAGGCTTAATAGGTTCTCACACGACGTTTCGGGTTTGGATGAATCATCATCAGGGATGGAATTGAGGAAAGAGAAAAAAGATGTATTTAGTAGCCTAGAGTAGTAGTTTGTTTGTTGTAACTAGTTGTAAATGATAGCCTCAGATGCTCTATTTAATGCAGATATTTTTTTATTTATAAGAAATTCAGAAGTGTTTTAACTTCCCGTAGGGTATTTATAGTAATGGGCCGAAAATCGAAAAAGAAAATTTTTGCATTTCTCGACGTTTTGAAGGTTTCTGAACATTTTTAAGGGACATACCTCACTAAATGGATGTGTGTGTGTTGTATGTCCGCATTTTTAGTATTAAAATTGGGACTCTACTGACGAGCAAACTAATCTAGAATTAAAAAAGGGACTCCACTGACGAGCAAACTACTCTAGAATTAAAAAAAGGGACTCTACTGAGAAGCAAACTAATCTAGAATTAATAAAAGGAGCCCTACTGACGAGCAAACAAATCTAGAATTAAAGGGGGGACTCTACTGACGAGCAAACTAATCTAGAATAAAAAAAGGAACTCTACTGACGAGCAAACTAATCTAGATTAATAAAAGGGACTCTACTGACGAGCAAACAAATCTAGAAATAAAAAAGGGACTCTACTGATGAGCATACTAATCTAGAATTAATAAAGGATCAAGAATATAAATATAAATATAAATATAAATCAAAGATCTAGAATTAATCAAGAATTAATAATCTACTGACCAGCAAAAGCTAAAATATATAAAAGGGGATTTTACTGACGAGCAGGCAGGCGAGTATTTCAGTTTACTCGTCAGTTCATATAATGCAAAATATAATTTGCTTGTCAGTAGAGTCCTTGTTATTTTCATGCTTCGTAAAATAAAGTTGATGATGAAAAATACTAAATATAATAATTGAAAAAATTACCCAGGCTAAGCACAGTCTAAGCGCCACTCTGATACAAATGTTTACCCAAGTTTATGTATGTACTGGATCACTTTTTCAATTTTGTGAGAAAACTATTGAAAAATGTGCAAATGACGCCAAGCTAAGCACAGTATAAGTGAAAATGTTGCACAAAATCATTTGCAAACGCGTTTAGACTGTGACTATACGGGAGCATTTTTTCTTCTAATTTTGTGTAAATTAGGCAACTATTTTTTTTTTGAAATTGAATTTGAAATGAAATGACGATTGTTAATGTTCCGAAAGATAAATTAATTTATGATTCACATTTGATTTGCTCACAGATATAGCAAGATAGCATAAATAATGAAAGTTACAGTATTTGTAATAATATATTTGAAAACGTTTAAAATTTCTCGAATATTTCATTACGGTACGGGAAGTTTCAGCAATTTGCATTAAGGCACGATGCCATGCGCCCCACTAGTTTATTTATAGATAGGTAACAGCTCTCCATTGCTCCACCTTACTGACTGTGGAGCTTCATACATTTAATTCTTCATACATTTAATTCTTCATACATTTTGATAACTCAGTAAGAAATAATTAAACCACAAAAACTCTGTATTACCTTGTATATATTTTCTCCACGTGCTCCAAAATTCTTTTATCCTCTCCACCTCTGTCTCCACCCGAATAATAATTCAATATCCGAAAAGATCTAATCATCTTTCTTTATTAATCCGCCACACTTTTGTTAGGTTTGTCGTCTTGTACAAATAAAAGTACTGATTGATATTTTTTCCTATAATCACACTCGACGTGACGATTCTAATTTTCTTCTTTTGCTGCTGCTGCTGCTGCTTCTACTTTTGCTGCTGCTGCTGACTCATGTATTAACAAACGGAGCGAGAGAATTCAAAAGGACTCTTTGTGTGTAGGGAAAAGCGGTTGGTGTAGGGGAAAACTGGTGGAAATAGGATAGTTTATTTTTTTTATTACTCCATATTGGCTTTGGCTATATTTTTCTTGAGTAATAAATTTAGTTGCAAACTTTGTACTTGGTTCTAACGATTATGAGCCTGAAATTTTGGAACCTGAAATTATGGAAACTAAAATATATGGATCTTGAATAATTTTAAATCATGAAATTTTTTGCATGGAATATTTAAATTTTTTGAAACGTGGATTTTTTCCTATCCTGGATTTTTTGGTGTCTGGATTTTTTGGAGTCCGGTTTTTTTTTGGAGCCTGGATTTTTTTAATCCTGGAATTTATTTTTTTATTTATTTATTCATTTTCTTTAAACCAAGAATTCTTTAAACCTAGAACTCTTTAAACCTAGAACTCTTTGAACGTAGAACTCTTTAAACCTAGAACTCTTTAAATCTAGGATTATAAACCTTGGATTTTCACACCTAGGAACTTTGAACCTAGGATTTTCAAACCTGAGAACTTTGATCCAGGTACTTTTTAAACCTAGAAACTTTGATCCAGGTATTTTTTCAAACCTAGAAACTTTGATAATGCAATTTTGTAAACCTACAAACTTTGAATCTAAATTTTCAAACCAATCAACTTTAAACCTACAATTTTTACATTCATAAACTTTGAACCTGATATTTTTTTAACCTAGAAACTTTGAATCTGACATTTTTTAAACTAAGGAACTTTTATCCTGGAACTTTTTGAATCTAGAAACCCTGATCCTAGATTTTTTTAAACTTAGAAACTTTGATCCTGGATTTTTTTAAATCTAAAAACTTTGATACTGGTATTTTTTCAAAAAATTCTTTGAATCTAAAATTTTAAACCCAGAAACTTAAACCTGAATGCATTTGAAACCCAGAAACTTTAAACCTGATATTTTTTAATCCAGAAACTTTGGACTTTGAGCTTATAAACCCAGATGCTTTAGACCTCGCACATATAAACCCAGATATTTTGAATCTGGAAGTTTTTAAACCTAGAAACCTTAATATTTTTTATTTGAATTTATTCAAACCTGAATGTGTTTGAATTTCTGAGTCTTTATACTTGGAAATATTAAAATCTTGTAAATTTGAGCCTGGAAACTTTTAATTTGGCATAATGAAACTTGGAGACTTCAAACCTAGATTTTGAATATAAAAAACACAGTATTTTAGTAACTATTTTTTTAACTATGCAAATAAATAAATGTCACTCTTGGAAAATCTAAAAGTAAAAGTACTAAGTTTCAGCTGCAATTCCATCACTTCTAGAAATCCACCAGAATACTGAGATCAAAATAAGTATGTCACATCACTCCACCATCCTCTACGTTATATATTATTACAAAATATTACTACATCCCCATAGAGAGAGATTGAATCTCGTTAATTATTTGCAGATTCATCACTGGCAAGGATGGCATTGGGACGACGTCGACTGATTTGGGACATGTATGGGACTTGTATGGGTTTCGATTGATACGATATGGATTTCGGGATTTAATCAGGCACGAATAGTTATTAGAAAGACTCGGCGATGGAAATATTAAGTTGACGTTGGAAATTTGATATATATATATATATATATATAATTACCATCAACAACAATATTTCCCAACAACAGTCTCGAAACAATCGCCCTCCACCGTACACGTACTCTTTCCAAACGATCGCTCCACCATGCGGCTTCACCGGTTTATTGTTTAGCGTCCATTGTTGCAAAATAATTGCACTGATTTTCCACGTTCAGCATTATAATGAAACATGGACTGACTCTATAGAACGAAATAGAAAAATGGTTATGAATTTATTACGACAGGAAATTTTGCTGCTGCATATATTTTTTCTATCGCCAGTAGTTTAATAATAGCGGGAGGACAATAGTGGGAGAGCTGGGAAAAAAATATTGGTTGAGAAAAATTTTAATTTTTAAATGGTTGTTTTTTTACAGTTCATGTTTCTGATTCTAACAGAGCTTAGATGTGGCATTTTATGTATTTTTCAATTTTACTCATCACCAAATAATTTCCACAAAGAGTCTGTACTTCTGTTCGTACTAGCTTTAAAGCAACGTTGTTTCTATATAAACCTGTATTTTTTTAATTTGAGTAATCATTCATCCAGCTCTCCTATTATTCAAACTGTAGCAAAAACAATACTGCAGCGAGCGATCCGTATCGGCCGGTAATATTTTAATGAAAATTTATGATCGGGATTTTATAGAGGACGTCCTGCGATTGTCAATTGTTTTTTTATTGCAAAAAAGGGATTTGGAAACCATAAGGGATTTAATATTTATATTTATTCGGACACAACATTCAGGGAAAAACTCAGAATTGATAAAAAATAGATATACATTTTTCAATTTATTAATTATTATTTTTGTCTATTTTTTCAGGTCGACCTGCTCCAACTGTCCGATGGTTGGTAAATGGACTATTGGTGGATGCCCAGGCTGAACAGACAAGTGGCGACGTCATCGAAAATCGTCTAATGTGGCCCACACTGGCCAGGGGCGATTTAGGGGCCATTGTCACATGCCAAGCTGTTAATACACAACTTATAGAACCCAGAGAGACTTCATTTGTCTTAGACATGCACTGTAAGTAATATAAAAATCTTGTGTTTGTGTGTTTCCAATTTTGATAAATTATTTTGTAATGTGTCAAGGGAAACAAAATAATGGTTATAAACTGAAAAAATTTAGAAATCATGGAGTAAACCAGTCAAAATTGACTGACTTAAAATTGTAAACGTGGGTAACTGGATGAAGGCTGTCGGGTTAGCCAGTATATATATATATATATATATATATCTATATATATAAAAGAGGAACGCCTTATGTGCTACCACTTATAACTCACGAACGGCTGGACCGATTTAGATGAAAATTGGCAGGGAGGTAGTTTAGAGCCAGGAGAAGGACATAGTATACTTTTTATCCCTTTATTTCATTCTAATTCAAAATTAATTATTTTTAAACTATCCATTTAGTTTATTGAATCTATGATTCTATTAATGATTTTATCCATGACATTTACTTTCAATTGTCAACTATCATTCGGTGTTTCTGTTTTGATACAAATATATTAATATGCTTTTTTTAATCACTACTTTTGGAAAATTATTACGTGAATAATATAAATTTTTTAATCACCACGGAAAATTATTACGAAGTGGCAAGTAAATTAATTCTTAATAATAGCAAGCGATTCCAGATGGACGATGGGGAAATTTATATCTTGAAAATGGGAATGTAATCATTCATATACTTAGGTATTTATGTATATTTGTTTATACGTATTTAAATAGAGTATTTGAGGTGTTTATATTATATATCAGCAATAAGTATAATCATCAACAAATTAATAAAAAAAATATTCTGAAATATAGTTTCTTGACATAACCTCAAAATTTGTAATAAAAATGTAAATAGTTATACATTAATTGTTGTTAATTTGTAATTTCTTTATACATATCTTATAAAATGTTTCAGGTGTTTACAACTAATTGGCATATATATATTATCAGCAAATGTGCTTTGATTCGACAATAAAAAGGTCTAATTGAAGTAATCGACTACCTTAAGTAAACTATAGTGATAGAATATTAGTTTTTGGTTCTCATATATTATAACCCAGCTATAAACCTCACGGAGCCCCAAACCTTTCCAGCGAATGCAAAATTGTCGAATTCGGTTTGTGCATTCTGGAGTTATATCGTCAGAACTTATAAATCAAGAAGGCTGAACCGATTTAACTGAAAATTGGCTTTGGTAAAGTTGGTAAAAGTTGGTTCAGAGCCAGGAGAAGGACATAGGATACCTTTTATCCTGTTCGACTTGGAATAACAATAAGCAAATGACAGCTATGTAATCACGCATGGATGACAATTCAATATTTGTAAGGAATTAATAATAAAATTATTTATTTTAAATAAATAATTAACAATTATAATATAATGATAGTGCCATTGCCCATTCGTATAAACAGTGAAGCGAACTATGTATAACTCAGTATGGTTGACAAATCATATTTTTCTCAAACACAATGCTCTGAAAGAACTTATTTGTATAATTATGTACTCATTGGTATTTATAAAACCTTTTCTAGATTATTCAGATTTAGAACCTAAATTTGGAATTGATCAAAGGAACATTTTGTCGAATAGCTTATTTCCAGTTATAATTTTCTGAATTTATTCAAGAATGGATAGTAATATATGAAGATCCACGACCGAAGTGTCAAAAACCAGTAAAGCTAAGCATTGTTTAACAGCAGTATTTGAATGTAAAGGGAAAAATATGTATAATCAGCTATAACCTTGATTCTTATGACTTTGGTATTGGGAGATAAATGGTAATCTTTGAAAATCCATAGTAAAAGTATTTTCTTCCATTGGTAGTTTTCTAGCAATTAGTTGAAAATGTAATTATTTTGTAAAATACCTTTGAAATTAAAATATGACATTAGACCTGCTTGCCATCTGGCCGTTCCAAGTTACCCCGTTATAGGGTAAAAAGGTCTAGATACATTTTTTTTTAAAGACAGCAAAAAAGCACGTTTTTACAATGATGAAGTAGCTGGTAGTTTTACTGAACGTAGTCAGATAATTGTTCATTTGAAATGTGTCATTTGTTGTGATGTAATTGGTTTGATTTTCATAATAAAATTTATTTTTGCTTAAAGTCAAATTGGACCTTTGTGCCTTGCCCTGTTCTACATATATACTTTTTATTAAATTTACTTTTATTCATCGAATATTACTAGAAACTTTTCAAAAAGCAGGTCAAAAAAGAGATACCTAAATCATTTTGTATCTCTCCTCGCAGAAATTTGAGAAATTTGTATAAGCTCAATAGTATTATTTACAATTATACACAAAATCCAGAATTCAAAAAAAAATTCAAAAAATTTGAAACGCATTCATTAATCGATTAAATGGAATTTGTAATGACTATATAAGTCGAAAGACCAACAAAGACTTGGATTGAATTATGCCATGTTTTCTATAGAAAATGTATAAAACTTTCAGTTTGGTTGTATTAATAAAATATATACAAACTAATGGGGTTTATTGTTTCTATAATACCTCATTGTATATAGCAATTCAAACAACACATCCTTACACAAAAAGTATTAATTTTTTAGATACTCTAGAAATTATTTATAAAATAACTTACTTAGCAAAACAACGTTTGCCGGGTCAGCTAGTATATATATATACATCCCCATTCCTATGTCTATTATCTCTCTGTTATCTCCGAGGTCTGATTATATCATTCTGTTTGTCCCCATAATATGTCATAATATGACACCAGCCGAATCACGCTTTCTGGCTGTCTGATAGTTGTCTTGCACCCTTGCATTTCAGACCTCCACAAATGCCCGATCATATATATTTATTAAAGTCTATTTGAGGCTATTTATAATAAATAATATATATTTATTAAAGTCTATTTGAGGCTGTGCTAAGAAATAAATTAAAACCCAAGAGCTGTTGGTTTTAAATTTTTATTTCGGATAAAAATACTTTTATATACCAATTGAATAAACTTTTGAATCTAACACATCTCCATAATCCGGACCTAATGATGTTTTTTATTGATTCTAAAGCTATCTCTCGAATAGATTTTAAAACTATAAAAATGCTGTTCCATATAATCGCCCGGAGCAAAACTCTATTCACTATTTCCACTTGAACGAGAACATTTAACAGTTTAACAATTAAAACAAGTCGTCGAGAGGGAATTAGATTGCGTACTTAGCACCGAAACACGAAACAGGGAGGGGTTTAGGGGTAAATTGAAATTATTTGAACTTTCTATTTGTCTATTTTTGTATCTGTCTTTTTCTCTTCAATTTTAATTACCTCAACGATATACAGCATAAAAAATATAGATTTTTCCTTTATAGATTAATAGACCAATTACTCCAGTCAATGGAGCGTTTTTACTCTGCTCCAATTTGCATAAAATTTTGGAATTAGGTTCATCTTACTCTCAAGTTCAAAAATTTAAACAATTCGGACTTTGCCACCACCTCTTATACAAAAATTTACAGAGTTATGATTGTTTAAAGAGTGCGCGGCCGCGCAATCGGAGTCGCTCTCGAGCACTTTAACCCTACGCCGTTTCAAAATGAGAGGAGTTACGAAAAAAATTATAATGAAAAAAGTTGTAGTCATTTTATTAACCTTTCAAATGGTATATTACAAATTGTTATGGAGTCAAAATTAAAGGAGTTATAACCCAAAAACTGATCGTATTTTTGTTGAATTGTGCCCATATTTCGAGCAATGTGTAAGTAAGCAGTATTTGGTGCCCAAAACTATTGACTAAAATCTGACGTAAGCAACTTAAGTCGGTCAGTTTTCTAGTAAAATTGCCCTATGAAAATTTCACTTCAAAATCATCTCTCTAACCCTATCCAAATCCGATTCGCCTCTGAGTCTTCAAACCGCGTTACATATACCGACGCCTCCACCGTCGGCTCCACCGCCGCCGCCCACTCGTCGCAAAACAGGTTTATTATGACACTCGTAAACGTTTTAAGCGAACAGTTTAATCCGGAGGTCCCTACAGTTGTAACAAGCTAATGAAATAATTAATCAGGCAAAATGGAACTGGAACTAGAACTGGAACTGGGATTTGAATAGAGATTGGGAACAAGGAAAATAGATAGTTAGATACTTTGGTGGAGTGCAGATAGACAAAAGTTGCAGAAGTTGATTCTTACGAATATAATTTTTTTTTAAATTGTGAAAAAAATAGAGAGGAGGAGAGTGTGCTATAATTGATGTTATAAGACCAAAGTAAACCTTGCATTGTATTGTCAATTGTAAAAAATATTTTTGAGAAATAGTTCAAGTAATTTAAGATAACAGGTTACATTTGTTTATATTTAGCATTATTCTGATATGATTCATTCTTATTTTTATGTATAAAGAAAGTAGACAATTTATTATTATATATTATTAAAAACTTAAGTCAGCAATGTCATTATAATATAATATAATAGTTAAGGATAAAACATAAATATTACATTGTAAATTCAAATTCAAAATATCAACTGTCAAAAAATATGTGAGCAACTTCAAGTTGTTGGGTACATTGTTCAAAATTAAATGCAGTAATTTCAAAACATTTTATATACAAATTATGATATATTGATGTAAGTTGTTTTGATCAGTTGGACGTTTATTTTACTATACAAAATTAAAATATAACAATACTATTATATATTGTTAGCAAGCTAATAAAATTCTCCACAAATCTGTATTTAACGTTTAAAAACTTTTAGAACAAAATTAAATAAAAAAAAATATGTAAATTTTAATATTTAGTTAGCCATTGGTTACTTATTTTTTAAATTTACGTTTATATTGCTGAAATTTGTTATGCAACATCTATAACGTTATATACCATTAAAAAGCTAATGAGATTATCTATGACTCTGTCTATAACAATTTAACACGTTTTGAACAAAATTATTTACAAAATATTTTTAAACTTTAAAGAGTCATTCTACATTATAAGTTTCATCGGTGGCACCCACGTTTATTTTATTATACAAAACTAAAATATAATAATAATATTATATATTGTTAGAAAAGTAATAAAATTATCTATAAATCTGTATATAACGTTTTAAAACTTTTCATATAAAATTGAATGTGAACTTAAAAATTCAGTTACCGTTGGTAACTTAAATTGGGTAAATTTCATTGGTGACCTTTTTTACATTTAACATTATTCTGATAAAATTTATATTTAACCTTATATATTACTATATATTAGTAAAAAGTAGATAAAACTATCTATAAATCTGTATTTAAAAATGTGTAAGTGTTGAAACAAAATTATACAAAAATAATTCGTTAAGATTTGAAATTAACATCATCTTAATCATGTTGACAGTTGCAAATCCAAAATGGACGCTTGACGGCTGAATGTTTGTGGTTTATATTTATATTTATTTTGTTCAAATTTAATGAAATATATTAACATTTTGATATATCGTTAGAAAGCTAATAAAATTCTCTACAAATATGTATGTAACGTTTAATAATTTTACAAACAAAATTAAATAAGAAAAATTAGTTAAAAAGTGCTTAACACAATTCTGATCAATCCATGCAACTTGTCTTAGGACAAAATACCACTTACACCTAGTTTAGGAGTAATGTTTATCCAAAACCACACACAACTAACTTGAACTGTTATATAGATTATTATGAGGTCATTAACGTCACTTGTGGTCACAATACAAATGTCAGTACTGTCATTGTTAAATCTCGACAATTTAGTTCGCTTCCGACTCGACAGATGTCACGTACACGTCACGTCAACTAAGGCTTGGTGTACATGATCAAATGTTAAACCAGAAATATCTAAATTATGTACAATTAAAGTACATCTAAAGCACTACAAAATATTTTTTTAACCGCGATTCCTTTAATCAGCAAAAGAAGCTACAACCTACCCATTCCTCCGGGAAATGGTTTCTGGGTGATGGTTATGCCCAACATTAATTACATATCTTCCCGAGGAAAATATAAAAATAAATAGCGAAGGCGCAAAAAAGTAATTACCTGAGCTGTGTGTACGTACAGCTATTAGCTTTGTACACGAATGAATCTGTAAGCCGACGTCTCCACCGGCTCCACCGCCTTCGAGGAAAACGTGTGGGCGAAGGAAATATAATTTGAAAAATATCGACTTGCTTTATGAGAAACATGATAAATTCAGATTATGTTTGTAAAAGTAAAGATGAAGATCTTGGTTTATATTGCAAGCAAGAAAAAAGACTGTGTCTCCACCAAATCACTCAAAGTTCTGACTCAAAGTTTTACCATCTGTCTTAATAACAAAAGCCCAATAGAAGAAAATATTCGTTCGTAAAGCTACTTCTCGAGCATTATAATCACTACAATAGTGCACTATATACTATATAGTCCTTATAAAATGACTCTTTTCATGTCCTTAATACCATCTGATAGAATGATAGAATGATAAAATGCTGTACTCAACAATATTATTATTATTATATCCGAGCAAAGGGATTATTTGTTGTGCTGGGGCACAAGAAGCTATTGTCGTAGTAAAAGACGAAATGGGACGAATTATATATATATATATATATATATCTATATATATATATATATATATATATATATATATATATTATTTAAAATGTTCTCTGTTTTTCTGGGTTTATTCCCATACCCAAAATGTTTGCATCAAAGTAAATATTTTAGAAAATAAACAAGTAATTTCGTTTTTTCGACACTTCTTTGTTCTTTTCCCTGAGACGTGTCAAGTGCACACACATCAAGGCGTCTCCACCTGTTTTTTTCATTCCGGTGGAGAAATGTTACAAATAGCTTTTGATGTCGAAATAATTAGGAGATTTTTGTGGGTTTTAATATAATAAGTATATATATGAAAATGGATTCATGTAAACAACATATTGTTTTGAGAACAGTTCGATGATTTAAACTTTTGATCTTATAACATTTTTGATAAATGCTTAAAATTTGATCAAGAAATCAAATTTTAAATAATGTTTTTGTTTTTGTTTTAGTGAAACCTTTGGTGGTCAATATAATGAAACCTCCACCGCCTTTGGTGGCGGACAGGAGGTATGAGGTCACCTGTGAATCTGCAGGTTCACGACCGCCAGCGGTCATCACGTGGTACAAAGGCAAAAGACAATTACGTAGAACTAAGGTAAAATATTACAACATTATATAAATTATAAAAATATTTTATATTTAATATATACTGTAATGGATCACAAAAAATCACATGTCGAAACATAATTTGTTTGGTTATGTATATTAGGGTGGTCCTTAACATGGATGCTTTATTATATACAGATTTGTAGAGAATTTTATTAGCTTTCTAACGATATATAAAAATATTAATATATTTTATTAAATTTAAATAAAATAAATATAAATATAAACCACAAACATTCAGGCGTCAAGCCTCCATGTTGGATTTGCAACTGTCAACTTGATTAGGATGGTGTTAATTTCAAACTTTAACGAATTATTGTTATATAATTTTGTTCCGACACTTACACCGTTTCAAATACAGATTTATAGATAATTTTATCTACTTTTTAACAATTTATAGTAATACATAAGTACAAATATAAATTTTATCAGAATAATGTTAAATGTAAAGAATGTCACCAATGAAATTTACCAACTGTAACTGAATTTTTAAGTTTACATTAAATTTTATACGAAAAGTCATTAAACGATACATACAGATTTATAGATAATTTCATTACCTTTCTAACAATATATAATATTATTATTATATTTTCGTTTTGTGTTATAAAATAAACGTGGGTATAACAAAGTGCACTCGACGAAACTAATAATGTAAAATGACACTTTAAAGTTTAAAAATATTTTGTAAATGATTTTGTTCGAAACGTGTTAAATTGTTATATATAGAGTCATAGATAATTTCATTAGCTTTTTAATGGTGTATAACATTATATATGTTGCCTAACAAATTTTAGCAATATAAACTTAAATTTAAAAAAAATGTAATCAATGGCTAACTGAATTTTAAACTTTATAAAATAAGTATTTACTTAGTAAGAAGAGACAAGAAACTTTGGTTGAAGTGCGGACTATGTTACAGTTAATATTAAAAGCTAAAACTCTCAGAAATTTATTGTTTATCAATTTGGAAGCATTTGAGTCCCTGGGAGCAAGCAAATTTCGAAAACATCCATATTAAGGACCACCTTATAAGTAAATATACATTGTATATATTCACCAAAGCAAAAGATTGTAGTTGCTGAGGTTCTCAAGTAACTGTACACGATCTATTTTTCTTTACGTGTAATCTTTCTTATCACAGAAATTACCAAAATTCCATTAATTTTATGTCCTACTTTTTATTAAACTATAGCACTATAATAATTGTTATTATTATTTTTTTCAGGATGAAACTCACGAAAATAGGACAGTGAGTTCCTTAAGTTTTGTGCCGAGCACTGAAGATGACGGAAAAGAAATTACGTGTCGTGCTGAAAATCCAAATGTTACAGGAATGTTTAAGGAAACTACGTGGACACTTGATATAGTCTGTAAGTACCTTAATGATTTATAAATATCAATTTATTAGAAAGCAATTCATGAACTAGAAGTTACGCACAATGTCCTTGAATACCGTGTATACTGATCACTTTTCCGAGGCCTCCAATATTTTATGATATTTACTTAGATCAAAATCTCCACCACCATATACAGTATTTGCCCAAGCATTGATATCTGACTTCCAAATCCAAATTCAAATCCGAATCCACAATCTCCATTACAACAAATCCAGCATCTGCATCATCTCTCCACCTACTCCTCCACCTCCTCCTGTTTAAAATTTCGCAACCACATCCCCTACTAGTAGTGGTACTACTAGACTTCGGATACACGACCGCGGCGCCTCCTCATCGGGGTCAGTCACGAATCTCGGTCCGGTCGGTTTTAAAGTCGTGCGAGCGCCGTACGTGACGGGAAATGTAAATTTTCGAGCGAGCAGTTTCCAGTCAGTGTGACCGAGATGGTCGAGGGACGGTGGAGACGGCGAAAGCGGTGGAGACGGCGTCCGGGTCGAGAGCGCGCGTATGCAAAACCAAATGGTGCCGCGCGACGGCGGCTGCGGGTCAACGCAATACGTCATGTGTTAGATCCGGGACGAGGGATGAGATATATGTATATATATATATATATATATATATATATATATATATATAATATATATATATATATACTAGCAAACCCGACGAACTCCGTTTGGCCGCCAGTTGGTTATGAAGAAATTTTTGTTTGTTTTATATTTGAGAAGAAAAAAATTGATTTTATCATACAACAGTGATGATTTTATTTCGATTACAAAAATGAAGTGTTTTTTAGTTGAACTTCTCTAAGTAAATGAAAGTGAATCCGCAAATTATCCGTTTCATTGAAGTGCTCTTTGGTAAACCACATTTTTTGTTTTTTGGTCTGACGTTAACACAAACAAAGCGGATGCTTTTTCAACTCGTGAACAAGCAACGTATAACTGCCCATGTGAAAAACAATGATTTTCTAAATAATCTATTTGAAATTTATCCCGCAAACACTAACCGATTGGCCTTGCGACTTGTTAATTGCGATCGCAAGGCGAACTGGAAATTGCAATCGCTTGAAGTCAAACGGAAGACCAGTCAGAATCATTGGTATGTCACCAAATCGCCAGCAATTTTTTATTGAATGGTGAAATTCAGTGCGTGTACATCATTATTCTTTGCGGCAAGAATTGCTCGTTGACTTAACCAAGCATAATTCTGATAATTCTCACTAATGTCATTACTCGAATTTTTAATTACGATGACAAAGACCTTTCCAAAGATTGTCGAAATCGGTTCGTGCGCTTTGGAATTATATCGTCAAGAAGGAAAACCTGACTTATTTTTATATATATGTATATATATATATATATGTGGGAGTTGTGATGATTATTATAATATATTAAAATTAGAAACTCCCAACATAAAAAATATATCAAATTTATTGACTATAAAAATATTACGATATCAAAAATATACATGACATGTCCGATCGTTTTTCACAAATCAAAACCAGCCTGCTTGATATCGCCACACACTCCCTGCCCAGTGTTGATCTCACAGTTAAAAAAAAAAAAAAAAAAAAAAAACAGGGAAACACGTTATAAAAATGTGGTGGGAAAGCAGATTATAGCAGACCAGTGTTGTAATACTGGTCAATTACAAATTTCCATGTTTCGTCAGCAGATCCACCGTATGTGGTGATTTGACCTGCCATCAACTCCATATTCTGCATAATGTTCTCGATCTAAAGGGTATTAGTTATATCAGAATAACTTAATGTTTAGAATGCATAATTTATGGGTACAGTTTCCATTTCTGCAAGCGTTGCATTCGTATCTGATGAGTTCCGATCAGAGAAAGAAGTTGGCTCTTTATCCAAATCAGGATCATTGGTTTCTTTGACATAAGAGTCCAGAATTGTGGAATCCAATAAATTATGTCAAATTTTGTTTTGATTCGTCGTTGTCACCGATAATGGGAGGTAGCATTATAAGACGATTTGTTGAGTTAACAGAGAAAGAGAGGTTGAATTGCATTCCAATGAAAAGTTCAGGCTCCAAATTATTTTTTCTGTCAGCAATAAACACTGAGGTCTGGGTATACCAAATGAGTAACCTCGGAAGTCTGATCCAGATAGTAAGTGCGTTAACTATGATGGATTGGACTGGACATACCTTATAGGTCGTCACTGAAGACCAGTGATTATGGTGCTGCGTCAAAATCAATTTTTCTTAAATCTTTGAAAAATAAAACTCCTTTATCTTCATCTCCATCGTCGTGAGTTACCAATGTGGGAGTAGTAATGATTATGATAATATATTAAATTAGAATCTCCCAACAATAAAAAAAATATAAATTTATTAACTATAAAAATATTACGATATCAAAAATATACATGACATGTCCGATCGTTTTTTACAAATCAAAACCAGCCTGCTTGATATCGCCACATATATATATATATATACAATAACGTATTGTGTGTCACCATTCAGCAATTCTTATTTACCAGTATCTAAAAAATATTTACAAAGTTTTAAAAAAATTAATTTTATTTTATATTTAAAATAATTAAAAGATATACATACCACACCAGGAAAAACCATGCGGACCGAGTTTTGTATTTAATAAAAAAATTATATTATTGAAGTAAAACTTGAATATAATAAAGTATCATGAAAATTTATTACTACCTAAAAAGGCCTCGTCAAATATTCTAAATTCATTTTAATCAATAAAAACACTAATAAGATTGTTACTTGGAATCATATAGGATCCTCGTAAAATTTAAGAATATTTTATTTTATTAACGTAAATTTTATTTCGTTGCCGTTATAATTTGATAATTTGAGAAACATCCGACTTGTTTAGTGGTCAGTAGTTGTCACATGTGCGACAGTGTACCCGAAGCGACCGGCTGTGTCATAAATTATTTGCAAAGGACACGTCCGGACGTGCGACGAGTCCTTTGAGTCCTTTGTATAGCGCCGAGATCCGAAGCGAAAATATATAAATATATTTGAAACGAAATCACTATTGGATATGTGTGCCTGTTGGCAAATTGATAAATTAAAAACTAGTGGTTATGGCATCGTGTCTTAAGGCAAATTGCTGGAACTTCCCGTATCGTAATGAAATATCCGAGAAATTTTAAACGTTTTCAAATATATTATTAAAATGCTGTAACTTTCATTATTTTTGCTTACCTGTTTGTTATATCTGAGAAAATCAAATGTAAATCATAAATAAATCAATTTATCTCCAGAACATTAACAATCGTCATTTCATTTCGAATTCAATTTAAAAAAAAAATAGTTGCCTAATTTGCACAAAATTGAAAAAGTGCTCCTGTATAGTCACAGTCTAAACGCATTTGCAAATAATTCTGTGCGACATTTTTACTAATACTGTTCTTAGCTTGGCGGCATTTTCACATTTTTCAAAAGTTTTCACAATATTGGAAAAGTGCTCCTGTACATAAACAGTCTAAACGCACTCGGGTAAACATTTGTACCAGAGTTGCGCTTAGACTGTGCTCAGCCTGGGTAATTTTTTGAATTTTTAATCCAAAATTACAAAAATATTTTATGTAAAATATAAAAAGATGTGATAATTTTTTATCCTCAAAAGCAATTGTTTTGGCAATACAAGCAGAAAGTTTTTTAGATCATTCAAATCGGACGCTTAGTTCACACAAAAATTGCCATTTTTGCACATTTAGCTTTGTATCTTCACAATGGCTGGACCTACCTTTGCCAAAAACCACTTTTTCCCGTCATTGCAAACTGAATGTTTTCTGATCATTCAAATCGGATGCTCCGTTCTTTCAAAAACCCAATTTTTATTTTCTGTACTCTTGGCTTTTTATCTCCGTAACTGCTGGACCTGCCTTTGCCAAAAACTAATCAGCACATCTTTCTTTCTATCAATAGGAATCGAATGTTTTTCAAACTATTCAAATCGGTTGATCCGTGCGTCCGAAAACGTGGACGAAAAATTGCGGACATACAAAACACACACACGCACACACACATCCATTTTTTCTGAGGTATGCCAAAATGTTCAGAAACCTTCAAAACGTCGAGAAATGCAAAAATTTTCTTTTTTGGATTTTTGGCCCATTACTATAACTACGGGAAGTTAAAAATATTTATCTATATATCTTATATATAAAATTCTTCTGTACGCGTGTATGATTTGATACTTCTCCTAAACCGTTATTCGGATTTTGATAAATCATTTTAGAGCTTGTCAAAGGAAATTTTCAAGATTTAATGCAGGATAAAACCGTAGTAATATTGTAGAAATTAATAGCAAAAATTACAAAAAAACACTTATCATTGTTTCACATTGAAATATCATCTGCTAGAAACGTCAATTCACTTGAAATTTAAATAGCTCAAATTATGAGCCTAGATAACATTAGAATAAAATATACAAGGAAAATGTAATGTCTATATTATTATTGCCAAAAAGCAGCTGAGATGTGCTAGAAATTAAAATAATATAAAATACAGGCAACAGTATATATGTTTATATATGTTATATATAAACATATATATGTTATATGTTTGGCAGATGAAATTATATAATTCGGTTTAATAAATATTGCAGCAAGTCCGAAATTACATACACATTATTGTTTTCATTTTATGCATATCGTATTTTGGTGTACTTTACTAAATTATTTAACAATATAAATAATGTTTCGACTTATTAAAAAAATGATTTACAATTTGGTTTCGTGTGTTAAAAATTCATTTATTTGGCATTGCACATGGAATATTTAGTTAGTTGATCTTAGATTGAATAGTACTAGATTTTGCAAATTAATTCACCTAAGATTTGAACATAAACAATAATGTTTATTGAATTTATTAGTAAGAAAAATGTACTTTAGAAATTATAATTGCCAAATAACAACTAATTTATCGTACGCCGAGATTATGAAAATTTTAGACTAAATTGTTGAAGCAATTATGTCGTGTGGTAAAATCAAGTGTGATATTGTTCTTTTACCCCGGATACTATATTCATTTTTTCAGAATTTCTTATAAAGTTTATGCTAAGACTATAATAAATAAATCACAAATAGCAGGACATCAACTAGGGTATTAAAAAGTATAGAATAGGATACTAAAAAAAGTGGAACTTTTGAATTGTAGACGTGGGTGCAAGGCAATGTTTGTCGGGTCATCCAGTATACGTATAAATTTATATTTATACTTCAAGGGTGGTATTTCTTTCAAAAACACATAATATCAACCCCGGGAGAATATATCATCAAAAAACATCAGCTCGACACCCTTTTCTATTGTGTCATTGTATAATTTTGCAGTTTCATTCTCCATGTAGGTATTGTTTGTTCTATTCATGGCGTCATGGAGATATATACGACGAGGACGACTATTTTTTGTGCATTTTTTCCAGTTATTTTATACGTTTTTATAATGTTTTTTGCTTTCTTTCTTTTTTCTCTTACCCTGGTTTTTTGTCGACTTTTCCTTTGTTTACAAGTGTTTCTGGATACAATGGGAATGACACATGCGTTTGTCGCCACCGACGACAAGGCAGAACGAACGGTGGAGTTTTTATTTATTTCAGTTATTTATTTATTTCTTCTTGGTTAAGGAGATAAAACTTTAGCTAAAAAATTATCGCTTGTTTGCTATTTTTGAAAATACTCATTTGTTGCATTTTATTTTTCCAGATCCTCCAATCGTGACTCTTCGCCTAGGAAGTACTCTGAGTGCTGATGACATCAAAGAAGGTGATGATGTCTATTTTGAGTGCCATGTCAGCTCCAATCCGCCTTGGAGAAGACTTTTGTGGTTATATGATGTATGTATTTACAAACTTCTATATTTAATCCTAAAACAACTTCTTAAACCCGAAGAAACCAGCTTTATGGGTCATTTTTTTCGATCTGTTGCTAAATACTGAAACATTGAGTTCAAAGTTGTTTTATTCGAAATTTTTATATGGGACTGTGTTCAACTGTTGGCATGGAATTATTGTGAATTTTATCTAGTTTCTGCTGTGCTAACTGAAAAAGAGTGTCTTCATATAAAATTTGTGAGTTATTTAAAAAAATGAAAAAAATGTCCCGTATTCTTGTTAGTGAAACTATGAAAATGTCTATCTACTTGTCGTGCGATCAGGCGTATTTTACATATAAACAAACAAGAAATAACGTTATAATTACAAAATCTTATATGATGGAGTTATCATAAGATTCTTCCTTGCTTGTTTACATGTAAAATACGCCTCATCGGACAGCAGACATTTTCACAGTTTCACTAACAAGAAACAAGCAGAAATAACTCACAAATTTTATATGAAGACACTCCTTTTTAGTTAGCACAGCAGAAACTCAATAATGTAATATCGAATTCAAAGTCGTTTTATTCAAAATATTTCTATCGGATAGTATACAGTTGTTGGCATGGAATTATAGTAAATTTCATCTAGTTTCTGTCTATCTTACTAAAAAAGAATGTCTTTATATAAAATTTGTGACCTATTTGATAAAAAGTAAAAAAATGTCTCGAATTAGATATAAACGAGCAAGGAAGAATCTTATTTATTGTAAACTAATGTAATATCGTATTCAAAGTCAATTTATTCAAAAAAATTCTATAGGACAATGTGCAACTGTTGGCATGGAATTGTTGTGAATTTTATCTAGTTTCTGTTGTGCTAACTATAAAATAGTGTTTTCATATAAATTTTGAGCCCAATAACATAGCGTTGTCATGGCAAGTGAAAATGCTTGGCAGTGGAAACTATGAAAACGTCTCTCTATTTGCTGTGCGATCAGGCGTATTTTACATATAAACAAAGCAAGGAACAATCTGGCTTAATTTCTAATAATTTGAAAGAATAGCTTGGAATTTAAAAATCTAAGGATTTTATTCAAGGATAAAAGTATCCAAAGATTTACATGTAAATTTCTGAGCTTTCTGAGAATTTTTTTTAAATTTCACTCATAATTTTTTTTTTTTTTTTTCTACCAGGGTGCTGTATTATCTCACAACACATCAGGACGTGTATTCAGATCAAACCAGAGCCTGGTGCTTCAACATGTCACTAAACAAAGTGCAGGAAAATATTCCTGCTCTGCCATCAATAGTGAAGGCGAAACGATTTCCAATGAGCTGGATTTTCGAGTCAAATGTGAGTAAATATTCCAAATTTTACATACTTAAAAATCCGTTACAAACATACTGAGATTTAAAATTGGAAAAGAATAAGTGGGTTGGGTAATTGTCTCATGAAATAGCATTATCTTATGCTTGTTTCTTGTTAGTGAATATGTGAAAATGTGAAAATGTCTGGTGTAATAAATAATTTTAACTTTGCAATTCAGTTTATATAATTCTTATAAATATTAGACAATGTTACAGTATTTATAATAATCTATTTGAAAACATTCTGTATTCCTCGAACATTTTATTACGGTACGGGAAGTTCCAGCAATTTGCCTTAATCATACACAACTAGTTTTATTTATATATCACGTATCATTATTTAAAGTCATCTCCATCTAAATCATTGATATGTATCAAGGCTCCACCGTCGTCTCCACCATTACCAGAAACAAGCCAAAGGCTATTTGACTAAGAAATGAAATCCAAATAGTGCCATCTCTGTGTACTTTGTCTTTTCCATCTGCGATATTATGAATGATACAGAACCTATTAATATTCTATCTACGGTGGAGACGAAAGTATGACGGTAGATCTCCACAAGAGTAGATAGATGTATGGAACTATCTCAATATATATATATATATATATATATATATATATATATATACATTTATCCTTAAACTTTTCCCTCCACCCCAGTAAACAAAAACTCATTAAAATCTCATTTCTCAATTCATATTTTTCCATGTATATTATAGAAGAAGCTATTAATTCGCTAGAATTGTGCTATGAGTTACAACTATTCTGTAAATAATATTAAATGAAGAAAGTTCTCGACTGAGTGTTTAATTAAAAATATGAAACAGAGCTCTCTGTCTTGTTTTCTCTCCTTTTGCAAATTCATTTAATTTTATAAAATGCGATTTAATGAAACTACAGGAATGGAAGGTAAAAGTCGAAGTGTACTATCGAGAAATTGATCAACATAATTACAACATAATTTTGTTTGGACGAAATGATTTCTAACCTGTCTATCCCAGATCTAAAGGCTAAATCGTGTGTATTATATTTTATAGAATCTCCTTTATATTCTCTGAAATTAATTTCAGATACATTTCATTCTCCATGTTGACCCTCATCACGTGAGTTATGATAAACTTTTGCCAAACTATTAGAAACCCAGTTTTAGTTTAGTTAGTTGACCAACAGAAATTGCCAACTAATATTAATAGTTAAATTTTCCAACTAATAACAGATTTGAAAATTTAATTTTTAGTTAGTTAATTAACAGAAATTTCCAACTGGTAATAATTAATAAAATCATAAACAAGTACATCAATTAATGACACTATGAAAATGTCTATTTGCTGTGCGATCAGGCGTATTTTATATACAAACAAGCAAAAAAAAATTGAAGATACCTGCACCATCTAGAATTCTATTATCATAACATTCTTTCTTGCTTATTTATATCATCCACCAAATTGCTGGAACTTCCCGTACCGTAACGAAATGTTCGAGGAATATTAAATGTTTTCAAATAGATTATTATCAATATTGTAACATTGTCTAATATTTATAAGAATTAAATAAACTGAATTGCAAAGTTGAAATTATTTGTTTATCGTATATTAGAACTTCAGTCAGAATTAAAATTAAAATCTGAATTATTTTTGATACACAAAAAAATTGAAACATTTTTTCCAAAAGTAATTATTTTATTGAAATAAGCAAAAAGTTCTTTGAATCATTCAAATGGGACGCTCAGTTCTTTCAAAAACTGCCATTTTTTGCACATTTAGCTCGGTATCTCCGAAACGGCTAGACCTACCTCTGCCAAAAACTAATCATCACTTTTTCCCGTCATTACAAATTAAATGCTTTTTAAATCATTCAAATCGTATACTCCGTTCTCTCAAAAACTCGATTTGTATTTTCTGCACTCTTTGCTCCGTATCTCCGTAACGGCTCGACCTACCTTTGCCAAAAACTAATCAGCACATATTCTTATCAATAGGAATCGATTGCTTTTTGAATTTTTCAAATCAGTACATCCATACGCCTGAAATCGTCGACAAAAAACTGTGTCCACACATACACACACATTCATGTTTTCTGAGGTGCCAGAATGTTCAGAAACCTCTGAAACGTGAAGATATGTAAAAAAAATTATTTTCGATTGTTGGATGATTATAATAACTTACCCTACAAAAAGTTAATAAAGTTTGTTGCTTTTGTACGAGATGACAATTAAGTTTAAAAAAAAATGCGTAAGTAGTAGAGTTTCTTTGGTCTGTTCGCTCGTCAGTAGAATCCTTTTTGTTTATTTGCTCGTCAGTAGAGTCCACTTTCCAATTTTCTAGATTAAAATTTTACCCGTCAGTAAGGTTCATTTCTTGTCATTAAATTTGCTCGTCAGTAGAATCCCTTCTATATCTTTTTCTTCACATTTTAAGGTTGCTTGTCAGTAGTCCCTTTTTTTCTTTTATTTTAAAATTTGATTTACTCGTCAGTAGAATCTATTTTTTAATTTTCTAGATCAAAAGTTTATCTGTCAGTAGAGTTCATTTCTTATCATTTAATTTGTTCATCAGTAGAGTCCCTTCTATATCTTTTTCTTCACATTTTATGGTTGCTTGTCAGTAGTCCCTTTATTTCTTTTAGTTTAAAATTTAATTTGCTCGTCAGTACAGTTTCTTTTATATTTTTTGTTCACATTTTAAAGTTGCTCATCAGTAGTCCCTTTTTTTTTTAGTTTAAAACTTATTATTTAAAATATTTATCTAGTTTAATATTCAAGACACATACTACAGCTGTTCAAAGAATGTGTCTGTATCACCAGCGAAATAGTCAAAAATACAAGCAGTCAATGAATGTATGTTAAGTTTAATTACATGAAGTTCTTCAAACACAATTATTACATGATGAGTGAAGTTGCAAAAACAACGTTTGTTTAGGCGTTGTTTAACATCCACTGTGTGAAAAAATATTTTAAAATATATTAATTATCAATTATTTCATTTCTCTAATGAAGGTTCAAGTTCTAAATGCTAATTACAATGACAAACCGATCATGTCATAATTGAAGTATGACTTTAATTACATTATTGTTTTCAAATATTATAGGTGTATGATGTGTAGTGTGAAAGATTCATTGCCGATGTATATTATTATCTATTCGCGTATGTATCTTAATTCCGGCTGCCTGTACCTATCGAACGTTAAATTCTAAACAGCAATACCCAATGGTTCCCTTGCTAGTGCTCCTAATTTCCGATTCCGTGCATTACGGACGCAGTTAACCTGCGGCTTGACCTGTGTTTGTTGTGTTCCCCTGTCGTTGTTTACATCGAAGAGGCTTCACGCTTAATTGCTACACGAAATGGCATGCGGTCGATTAACAAAGTCGATGTTTGATTCCAACGACTAGGATAGGAATAGCATAATATATCATATATATGAATATATAAAATTCTTCTGTAATGGTGTATGAAAGAATAATCCTCCTAAACGCTTATTCGGATTTTCATAAATCTTTCTGAAGCTTGTTTGTTTTCTAGGATTTTTTGATTCATAGAAATATAGTTAGATTGTAGAAATAAATGGAAACAATTACAAAAAACCGCTTATTATTTATTGATATTGAAAATATTTAAGGCATGGTTTGACATTAAAACAAATGCACACTGTTATTTGCCAAACATTTCAATTCACTTATAGGCTAAGACAATATTAAAATATAATATATTTATGATTATGAATAAGAAAAATGTAATGTCTACGTTGTTATTGCCGAAAAACAGCTGAGATGTGCCAAAAATTAAAATAATATAATAAAATACAGTCAACATGCGTTTGACAGGTGATTGCACATATGATTCTATTTGACAGATTATTAGTTTTAAACGTGATGACAGTTCATTAAAATTTGAATTGTCAGATAGAAAAAAGGCTAAGTTCAGGTAAATGGATTTTAAATTTTTAAAAGATAAAAGAAATTGTATTGCATTTTATGTATTGTATTATTTAATTCAAAGTTTATATTAATATATTTAATTTAATTAATTAATTAATGATAAGACAAATTGATTTTCCATCAAATATATAAATTTAAAATGTCAAGACAGAAAAATTGCCAAGTTCAGGTGAATGGATTTTTAAATTTTTAAAAGATGTGATTTTAATTAAATTTGTGTTGTAAATATATATTATATGTATAAAAGTAATTGTAAAATAACAGACATATCATAAACTTATTATTTTTTAACTAATGCAGTTGTGTTTTGCTTTACTTTACTAAATCACAATACCAAAAAAATTTACTCATCCAAAAAATTATTTAGAATTTTCATTGTGTCAAAAATTCATATATTTGGCATTGAATACGGAATATTTACTCAAGCCAATGGAGCGTTTTGTGTCTGATTTTTGTACTGTGCTCTAATTTGTACGAAATTTTGGAATTAGGTTCATGTTACTCTCAAGTTCAAAAGCTAAAGTAATTTAGACTTTTTTGCCACTTCCCATGTGGATAACATCACTGGTTGTGGATGTTACTGGTTACTTAAAATTCGTTTCTTCGTAAAAATACACATTTCAAGGAAAATCATGTAATGAACAAAATTATATCAATTAAAATCTTAATAAATCGGCGTTTTATAATGTGCTCTAGAAACAATATTGATAGGTATGAAAAAGAAGTTGTTTTTTATTTCGTTCGAAATTTAATTGTTGCATTTGAAGCCGTTTAGGTGTTACATTTTATATATTCCATGGCTTTTTATAGTGCTCAATAAGCTTTAAAATGAGTAATGAGTACTGTTGAAGGTCTGTTTTTTTTTCATTTAAATCAACTAGTCAATGAATGTCATTTCCACCGAAAACACAATTAATCGTATTCCATCTAGAATTAACTTGGTTTAAGAAAATCCAAAATATCACGCAAATTGGAGCTCAGTATAGAAATTCACGGAGTACACGCTTTTTTCCGCTCCATTTACAACAATAATTTAGTTGATCGTGGGT